AAAGGAGGCAGAGGCAGGTGGGTGGATCTGAGTTCCAGGCTAGCCTGGTCTACAGAGTGAGTTCCAGGACGGACTCCAAAGCTACACAGAGAAGCCCTGTCTCTAAAAACAAACAAACAAACAAACAAAAAAACAAGCAAACAAAGGAATATAGCTGACAAAATCCCAACCATGGAAAAACAATATCATATGAAAAACAGTAGCATATGAAACACTAAAAACGTCCAAGGCAACCCTATCCCTCTTACCAAATTACTAATCATACAGTAATGACATCTAGCAAGAGTGAGTTAGATGAAATTCCAGGCAGATAATTAAAAAGAATGATTTTTTTTTTAAATTATGTTTAAAGAGATGAAAGAGGTAAAACATCCTGATTGGGAACACAAGAAAACAACAGAAGACTAGAGAGGGGGACAGTGCAAGATGGGAAAGACAGATTTGTTTTGAAAGAGATAGGAATATTGGGGGGGAAAAGCCATTGTTAAGTCAAAAAAGTTTGTGGGATAGAATAGAAATGAATGAGTCAAGGAGAAGATACTACAATATCTGAGCTTAAAGACAAAGTGGCTGAACTGAAGCAGTCAGATATAGAGATTAAGCAATGAGGACGTACCAATGGGAATTCCAGCATACACATGACATCCTCAAAAGACCAAATCTATGAGTGGCTGTGGAGATTCAACTATAACTCTGTTGGTAGAGACAGAATTCCCAGAAGCAATCTGGTTTTGGAGACTAGCTGAATTCGTGAGATCCAGGTTCAAACCCTTGCTCAGTAAATACATTTGAGAGTGGTTGAGAAAGACTTCTAGTCTCTACATTCGTGTAAATATACCTACACCCCTGTGCCCCTGAGCATACATGCACATATGTTAAAAAATAAACATGTTTTAACAGCTTGATCAGTTCATAAAAACACTTTTTTTGACTGATAACTTTGAAATTTTAAATTACATTTTATTCATTTATCTTGCTTATACCACATGTGTACCATGGTGAATGTGAGGAGGTCAATTATTTGATCTGTTTATTAAGGTACTCTTTGTGAGGCTCTATAATTAATAATTTTTAGGTTGGAGGTACTTAAGAATTGCATAGGTAAGCTATTCTCATACATATGTATATATGTGTATCTAGATATATGATTTGTTGAGTGCTTATAAAATGCAGTATTTATGTCACTTCATTGAGGTAAAAAATCATACTTAACATTTCCATTGTATTGTCTTTTTTGACATTTAGTTGCACATTCATGATACACTTACATGAAATTATGCAATGTGTTTATCTTTCTAAAAGAAAAAATTGGGCGGCTGAAGAGATGACTCAGTGGTTAAGAGTTCTGATTGCTCTTCCAGAGGACCTGGATTCAATTCTCAGCACCCATAAGACAGCTCACAACTGTGTGTAACTCCAGTTTCAGAGCATCTGACACCCTCACAAAGATATAACATACGTGTAGGAGAAACACATACACATAAAATGAGAGACATAAAACATTTTGAAAAGTTCAGCCAAAAATGTTGTATGCCGTATTTTGCTTCTTTTGTCTTTTTATTGGACATTTGGGATGATTCTGTTTTGATGTTGGATAAGTGCTGATGCAAACATTGGTATACACATTTTTAAGTATGATTTTCAATTCTTTGAGCATACTGAATACAGATATTATGGACAATAGGGTAATTATATTTTTTAACTTTTTGAAAGATTGCCAAATTGTAGGTTTTAGTTGTTGTACAATTTTATCTTCATAACAGTAACAAGCAAGGGTTCTAATTTCTTCCTATCTTCAATACCACTTTTTTTTCCTATTAAAAAAGATTATATAGCTATCCTAGTGGGTGTGAATTAGTATCTGATCATGGTGGCTTTGACTTATATTTCTCTAATGACCACCAGAAAGTGCTGCTGAGGGTATTTTTATTTGTTTTGTTTTCGAGACAGTGGTTTCTCTGTGTATCTCTGACCATCCTGGAATTCACTCTGTAGACTAGGCTGGCCTCGAATGCACAGAGATTCGTTCTGCCTCCGTGAATGCTAGGATTAAAGGTGTGCACCACCACTCAGCAACTGAGGGTATTTTATGTGTGTATTGAGTATTTATAGATCTTAGGGGAAATATCTACTTGTATTTGCTTCTCTTTAAAAGAGTGTCTTCTCCCTCCCCCACAATCTTCCTTGCTTTTTTGAGGCAAGGTCTCTGTACCCTCTACTATCCTGGAATTACCTATGTGGAGGCTAGACTCAGATTCCTTCCTGCCTCTGCCTCAAGAACTGGGATTAAAGACATATGCCCCTCTTGGCAGCTTTTTATTGAATTTTAAGAGTTTCTTACATATTCTGGATACTAGACATTATCAGACATGATATGCACTATTTTTGATTGGCAACATACTCAGGGCTCTGATTATTCATTCAGGTGAGGGGGTGAGGGTTCTTTATGAGTCCATACCCTTGAATAATGTTCTTTACATAGATGTTTTCATTTATAACCTTTTTCTTCCTATTGTAAATCCTGGTTTTGTTGTCATATTTTAAGGATATTGCTAAAGGTAGGGCCAGGAAGCTTTATCTCCTTGTTTTCTTTAAAGACTTTGAAATTTTAGCATTAAAAATTATTTGTGTGTATGTGTGTATGTATGTAGGTTAGAGGTTATCTTGGAGTGGACCCTGTCTTCCACCATATGGGTCCTATAGAGCTGAAGTCATCAGGCCTTCTGAGCTATTCCTATTTATTTAGGTAAGACTTGGCTTGTTGAGTAGTTTGTACAGTGTCTGTATATTGTATTTGCATTGTTTGTTATGGTGAATGTTTATAATCTCAACATTAGGAAAGCTGAGGCAAGAGAATCAGATGTGGGAGGCCTGCCTGTGCTACAAAAAATCAAATAAAACACAAAACAAGCATTTTTAATAATAATTAATAGAATCATTTGTTGAAACCGCATTACTTTTTACCGAACTAAGCCTCCTTTTTTGCTGTGTATTAAATAATTTTTGTACAGGGGTGTTTATTTACAAGGTAGCCTAACATGACCGATATAAGTATCAAATTTGACTCTCTGGGATGAAGGAACTCTGAGTGATTTGCGATGTAGAGAAAGGTGATTGGTGATAAAGTAGTGGCTATCTTCAGGAGCAAGTACAGAAAGTAGAGATTGTTCTTCCCACTGTAAAAAAATGTCAGCAGTCATCAGGCACTTTTGTAGGCCAGAGTGGAAGGTTGGTGGCATTAATATTTTTTTAAAAGATTTATTTATTAATTATGTATACAGCATTTTCCCTAGATATATGCCGCAGACCAGAAGAGGGCACCAGATCTCATTACAGATGGTTGTAAGCCACCATGTGGTTGCTGGGAATTGAACTCAGGACCTCTGGAAGAGCAGTCAGTGCTCTTAACCTCTGAGCCATCTCTCCAGCCTGGCATTAATATTTTTTAAGCTACCTTCAAGTTGCTAAAAAACTGATTTAGCCATAAAAAGCAAGTGACCAAAAGAAAGCGAAACTAGAGGGTTTAATCAGGGTTTTTTTTTTTTTTGTTTTTTGTTTTTAAGTTTCATGACTCATACAATGCCCGGGTCACCTGTAGTTCTTGTGTTCCTTCCTACATGCATCCATTGTCTGTCTGTCTGATCTATTATCCATCTATCCATCCATTTTTGAGACAGGGTTTCTCTCTACCCCTGGCTGTTCTGGAACTTGCTCTGTAGACTAGGCTGGATTTAAACCCAGAGATCTTCCTGCCTTCTGAGTGCTGGAATCAAAGCTGTGCACCACCACTGCCCAGCTATTCTCATTCTTGTTTTGAGTTTTCTAAAAATTGGCAGTTAATTATATTTAGAATTCTTTTTGGGGTGTGGATAAGAATATATCATGAAGCTGGAGAGATGTCTTAGTAACTAAGAGCACTTGCTGCACTTCCAGAGGTCCCAAGTTCTATTCCCAGCAGTAGCTAGCCTACAACCATCTTCACAGTTCCAGTCCCAACGTATCCATTTGTCCTTCCTGAGCAGCAGGTACATGTGTGGTGCACAGATGTACATGTAGTACCCTCCCCCTGCCTTATAGATAATACCACTTAATTCACAGCTTAGGTTAGAAATAATTCTGATCGTTATTAAAAATAAGTTTCATTGAGGTATACTTTAAGAAATTTGCCCTGATTTTTTTTTAAGTGTATGGTTTGAATCATACGTAGTTTTGTAATTACCATTAATTTCCTCAGTTGCTCAATAAATTCTTCTTATAGCCATCTATTCCACACTGCAAACTGGTCTTTTTAATAACAATTTTATTATGTGAAAAGAGAAATTTATAAATTTAAAGATCTTACTGAGCCTTATTTGCTCTCCTAGAAATTGGGAAACCTTTTCCTGTAAAATAGAGACCATGTTCTAATGAACTGAATGTAAATGGACTTTGTAGATATAAAGAGCTGAAGAAGACGAGATAGGGAAACAGTAATAGATAACCAATTGGTTAATACAAAGTTACTTCAGGTTACTTTTGGGGCAAGGATGAAAGTGGAGCAACAACATTAATAAGGTGTTCTAAAACTGGTCTGTTTAGAAAAGTTAGCTATTGCCTCTCTTCCTTGATTTTTTTTTAAATATGGACAATAAGTAACTTTGAGATTGTTCATATGGAATTTTAGTATGGGAAACTTCATTTTTATTTTAGTTTGGTCTATTGGGGTCTACTTCAGGAACTTAGTTCAAAACATTAGTCTCCTATAATTATTTAATAATTGCAAATGGAATCTTACAGTTTGATCACTGTAATTGAGGGTTTTTTTTTTTTTTTTCCCTCTCCTCTCTTTTGAGACAATCTTTCTGTGTAGCCACAGCTGTTCTGGAACTTGGTATGTCCATCAAGCTGAGAGGCATGTACCACCATACCCGCCCAGCCAATTTTAATTTAAAGGAGATTCAATATAAGGTTATAATTTTGGCCCGAAACTGCAAGTCTAATTTTTCCCATTTTTATGACAGGGACTTGCCATGAGGTGTTGAAGCCTTGTTTCACTGAGTTGGAGAGACTGGACCTAAATGGCGCAGCATGACTTTGCTCCAGCCTGGCTTAATTTTCCTACTCCGCCATCATCAACAAAGGTACTTTCCCCCTGCATCTCTCTGCCTTTCTTTCTGCCTTGATTTTTCATGTTGTACACATATTTAACCAAAAATGTGAAGACTTGGACTGTGGTTGGGTATGGCTCCCTGGTAGTATGCTTCTCTAACCTGCCAAGGTCCTGGGTTTAAGCCATAGTATAAGGAAAAAAGTGAAGACAGTTTTTGTTGTCTTTGTTCAAGGGGATTTTTGTAGTGTTGATTCAGATCAGTCAAATACTTGGAACTTATCTTTGCTTTTTACAATAATTTTTATTACTTTACTGCTAATTAGTAATGATACCTTAGCATACATGAGGTATTTAAAGTTTGCAGAGTACTTTGCCAAATATTTAATTTGATCATAATTTCATGAATGTTGTGTTTTAGATTTATTCCTACTCTTGTTCCATGAATTTCAATTACTGACCTCTTGTTTTTGACAAAGGGAAAGTGAAATGATTGTATTCCAGAGTAAAGGACATGGGCATTGGTTACTCTATAAAACTGTTTGCCTCATTTGATATCACAACTCTCTGCTAGGCTCCATTAATTGCTGGTTAGTTGCTGTGCTGTTTTCAACAATGCCCTGTGGCATAAATTGCTTCTTGTTCTGACTCAATTTAATTAGATAACTGGTGGTTTTTGAGGCCAGTCTTTGAGGTTTATTCTGACCTCCAGAAAGAAGTCTCTTAGTTGTTTTCCTGGTTCTCTCTGTGCTAGCTGCCTTATTGGTTTAGCTTATTGCTGTTTGTTGAGAGTAGCTATCACCCTACTGTGTTGTGCACCCTACATCCCACTAAAAATCTCCATTGTTTGAGGGTCCTTTAATCAGAAACTTTCTCATGCTGTGTTTTGAAGAGTTCTTTGAGCACTGCTTCTTACTATTATATATATCTTTATTAGGTAGCTGGATCAAGTGAAATTAGGACCTCAATATTCTTGGTCTGGAAAACCTGAAATAGATGTTCAGTTGTGAATGGAGGTTGTGCAAAGAGAAAGAACCCTGGTTTCCGGACTGTTGCTTGGAATATAACCTCTTCAGTTGCAGTTGGACAGAATGCTTGTACAGAGGGGGTGGTGGCTCAAGTGCTGCAGATTGTCATTGCACAGTTAGTGGAGAGATTGGTTAAAAACCTTCAGAAAAACAAACAAGCAGTCTCTAAAATTTGTCCTAAAGGCACATAGCAAACGAAGAGAGAGGCATTGACTCAACTTGATTCATAATAAGAACGCTTGTATCCTTCTGATTAATGGCTTTACTTTTCTGTCTGTTTTTCCAGTCACTTGGAAAACTTTTTAACTAAGCAAGATTTTGAGTTGGAACTAACATTTTAGGAATATAATTTACATAACTCAGTTAACATTCACTTATTTAATAAAATGTGAGTCTTGGTTATTTGCTTGCCTGTTAATCTGAACGTTTATCATGATTAGGTCGCCATCTAGTACTTTTATGTGTACAGGTAGTTTTTATAAAAGTTTATTAAAAGTAGCTCTCATGAGAATAATTTTATTTTAGAAATTTCTTCCCTTAAAATGCATCGAGCTATTTCCCTAGGCAATAGAATTTAATTTGAAGATGAATCTTAGTGATCATATCTTGCACAGGTTTTTGGGAAGGTTAACTGCTTGCTTATTTTTACGAAGTAATTAATGTGAAAGCAGACATAGAATAAATCTAGACTTTATTCTATGTTCTTGGCATACAATTAATTTTGGAATGAGAGAAAATGATTAAAAATTACATTTTGTAGACTATGAGACTAATAACAAAACCTTGAAATTGTTAATTTTTGAAAATTTCATATTTTTCCTTTTTTTCCCTTTTGAGACAGGTTTCTTTGTGTAGTTTTGGCTTCTCTAGAGATAGCTCAGTAGACTGAGTTGGCCTCAAACTCAAGAGAAATCCATCCTGCTGCCTCTGCCTCCTGAGTGCTGGGATGGTCTGGGCCACCACCAGTTACACCAACTTCCTCTGTTCAGCTCCTTGGAACGTCCTCTTTCTCCTTGGAAAGCGCTCTCTCTCTCTCTCTCTCTCTCTCTCTCTCTCTCTCTGTCTCTGTCTCTGTCTCTGTCTCTCTCACACACACAAACACACAAATTTATTTTATGTTCATTGGTGTTTTGCCTGCATGTATATCTGGTATGAGGGTATCAGAAACCCTGTAACTGGAGTTAGAGGTGTGAACTGTGGGTGCTGGAAATTAAACCCAGGTCCTCTAGAAGAGCAGGCAGTACTCTTAACTGTCAGTCTCTCTAGCATCCACATTTCTTAAGTCAAGTTCTCGTGTTTTTTTTTTTCTTTTTAACCTTTCTTCCCAAGTCCTGGGCTTATGGGTGTGTTCTATCATATCCAACTTAGATTGCTTTTTTTACTCTTTTCCTGCTTATTTCTCTATTATGCATAGTTATTACAATTTGTGCCAGCTTTTTAAATCCCTAGTTGTGCTAACCTATTCCGTTTATAGGCAGCCTCCCATATCCCCCAAGGCCAACTTTGCAGTCTATATGCATATGGGTTTCTTGCTTACCCTTCTCTTTCCTTTTGCCATTTTGTGTTTAGTAATATACGACTTGTTTTATTCCTAAAAGACTAACATAAGCAAAAGCTATTTGGAAAGTGAAATTACCATAACAAAAGTTTGTAAACTTATCATTATTTAAACATTAATAGCCCAGGATAAGGACTAAGGACCGTTATAGTACAGTAAACTCTTAGCGCTCTTCTAGAATGGGGAGTATCGTATGTATATAGTATATAGTCCGTCATGTTGATAGATTTTGATTCTGTTGGAGTTAAGTATAGGCTGCTCTCCACCCCAGACATTAGGCCTAGCAAACACTAAGCTGTTTTTTTGGCTTTTTTTTTTTTTTTTTTTTTTTTTTTTGTTTAAAGATAGAAAGGGTCTTTTATAGCCCAGAGTGACCTTCAAATCTCTGTGGTGTAGTATGACCTTTGAACTTTTGAACCTTCTTCCAACTACAAGTTCTGGGACATCAGGTGTGTGGTATTGCACCATGCTCTTCATTTTGGGACAGAACCTCACCAAGTTGCCCAGGCTAGATTCCCTTGAATTTGTGTGATCCTCCTGTTTCAGTTCTCTAGTAGCTGATCTTACAGGCTCTTGACACCTAAGCCCAGCTCCAAACATGTTACTTCTTGAGTGGTCATCAATCTGAGTGGTTATTAATCTGAATTCTTAAGATTTGAGTTTTTGTTTTGTTTTTGTTGTCTTACGGTAATGCAGTGGTTCCCAACCTTCCTAATACAGTTCCTTGTGTTGTGGTGACCCCCAACCATGATTTTTTTTCCATTACTACCTCATAACTGTAATTGTGCTACTGTTAAGAATTGTAATGTAAATATTTTTTGAGAACCAGTGCCCTAAAGAGACAACTTCAAGCTCGTGCTTTTTGGGATGTGAGATATATACATACATACATACAATACAATATAGTAATTTATTATAATAATAATTATTTTTTTTGGAGACAGGGTCTTTATGTAGCCCTATCTGTTTTGGAACTCATTGTGTAAACCAAGCTGACTTTGGACCTTGAACTCACAGAGATCTGCCTGCCTCTACCTGTGCCACTACTCCTGGCTCTAATGATTTCTTTCTCTTTTCGTACCTTTTTTTAAAAAATATAACCTTGCAGCTTAGTTTTTCATCCTAAAAATCACCAGTCTTCTGTTTGTAATTAACTGCTTGTTCTCTACTGAGACTTTGTATCATGCAAGTCTCTGCTTTGAATCTTGTCTTAAATAAATGGAACAAACATTTGTTTAGTATAAAGCCTTGTGTTCAGTATAACGATAGTCAGTTTTTGTTTGGAATGATGTACAGATAGATGAATTCAGGGTGATAATGTTATAACTGCAGTTATATACCTTTCTGAGGCCTGTAGAATTTTAGCCCCATCATGTGGTCAAAATATAAACTACATGCATTTTACTCCGCCTGTACCTTAGGGCAGTTTACATAGTGTTTTTGCATATGTGTAGATCTAAATAAATTTTAATTTGCCTTTGTGTATTAGTACAGGACTTCTGTAGTTATTTTGTTCTCTCTCTCTTTTTCTTTTGGGTTTTCAAGATGGGGGTTTCTCCAAGTAGCTTTGGAGCCTGTCCTGGAACCTGCCCAGCTTCTCTTCTTGTTTTAACCCTTTGCTTTAAATTTTTTCTTAATTAATCCAATAAAAATTTTAAAACAATTTTTTGTTTATGAGTATTTAGATTTCATTTAAGTTCCTGTACCTTGTGCATGCATGATATCCAGAGGCCAGTAGAGGGGTGTCTATCCCCTAGAACTGGAGTTACTGATGATTGTGAGCTATTAAATGTGGCTCTTCTGGAAGAGATGCAGGTACTCTTAACTATCAAGCGCTGTCCCCCCCCCCCCCCCCCCGTTTGTGTGTGTGTGTTTCTTTTCTCAGCATTGTGCACCTGGAGGTCAGAGGACAATTTGTGGATTTGTTTTCTTTCTCTAAAAGATTTATTTATTATGTATGTAGTGTCTGTAGTGTTTTGCCTGCATGTATGCCTGCAGGCTGGAAGAGGGCACCAGATCTCATTGTGAGCCACCATGTGGTTGCTGGGAATTGAACTCAGGACCTCTAGAAGAGTAGCCATCTTTTCAGCCTGGATTTGTTTTCTCTTACCATGTAGATTCCAAGGACTCACTCAGATTTTCAATATTGACAAGCAAGCATCTTCACCCATTTGACTGAGCTGGATGTGGTTTGCAGTCAAAGTAGCATTTTGGATAAGGTGTAGTGGTACATGCTTTTAATTTCAGCACTTAAGAAGTAGAGGCAGATGTGAATCTATGAGTTTGAGGCCAGTGTGGTCTACATACCCCAAGTTGTGCTCCAGTTCAGTTTGGGGATTAATGAGACTTTCTCAAACCTTAACAACAAAAACCCGAAGCATTTTGGGCTGGACAGATAAGATGGCTCTAGGTAAGACTTGCCATGGAAATATGAGGATACGAGTTTCA